ATCATCATCGTGGCTATGTGACCTTCCGAACGTTTTTTTAGCACTACACCATATAGACAAGGACACCTCCGGGCCATCCATAGTCTGCCTGCCAAGGTTGGGCCTGCTAGCTCCAAATTATGGAAGGAGCTAGTGGACAAACAAACAAATTGACACATAACGTGAATTAATACAGGATATATACCTAATGGAGATATGCGTGCATCACATGGGCATGAAACTATCTTCCGATCTAGTTTATATTAGACCACCGTCTAGATTAGCGTAATGATTTAGAACAGTAGTAGGCAAACCACAACCTTATAGAGGTAGATCTGTTCCCCCTTGAGGTAAACCTGATCCCTCTTCCCCCGCATCCTAAAATATGTTTCTTACATAAGTCATTTTTATTGAACTGCATCATTTATGGCTTATGACTGGTAGATCTGTTTAAGAAATGATACTTCGTGTAAAAAAAAATGGTACATGATACAGCAAGTGTTATTACTGTTTTGTTTTCAGTGTTATTTTTAATATGTGTAAAAAATGGTATATGATACAACAAGCGTTATTACTGTTTTGTTTTCAGTGTTATTTTTTTATACGTGTAAAAAATGGTATATGATACAACAAGTGTTATTACTGTTTTGTTTTCAGTGTTATTTTTAATATGTGTAAAAAATGGTATATGATACAACAAGCGTTATTACTGTTTTGTTTTCAGTGTTATTTTTTTATACGTGTAAAAAATGGTATATGATACAACAAGTGTTATTACTGTTTTGTTTTCGGTGTTATTTTTTATACGTGTTCCCTTTCCTACACTTTGATACAACAAGCATTATTACTGTTTTGTTTTCAGTGTTATTTTTTATACGTGTAAAAAATGGTATATGCTACAACAAGTGTTATTACTGTTTTGTTTTCGGTGTTATTTTTTATACGTGTTCCCTTTCCTACACTTTGCCCAATGAAAAATAATTACTCACAATTGACTTTGGACCTTTTTTGCGACGTTTAAACGTGTATTTGTTGTTGTTTTTGGAATGAAACTGTTTGATTTTGCGACGTTTAAACATGTATTTGTTGTTGTTTTTGGAATGAAACTGTTTAATTTTGAACTTTTTCTTTTGCGACGTTTAAACGTGTATTTGTTGTTGTTTTTGGAATTAAACTTTATTTTTTTCTGTTTTCACAGTGTCACTCCCTGATGTTCCAGTGCGATCTGAACACGACCCTCTACCACTGGACAGTAACGGCGAGCTTGTTCCTTTACGTGACCTTATATCCCCGAGCCCAGGTCGTTCAGTCAGGCCTAGTGTACGACGTCATCTGACTATGAAGAGCAATATAAATGTCCATCACTTGAAATCTTCCCGAGAAACATTAAGTTTTAGACGAAAGAAACGTTCCAACGTTTGATGAAAAACAAACATAATTCATTTTCAATCTTTCAAATCCACACTGTCTATACGCCCACTTCTAGTCTTGGGAAAATAAATTCGTCTAAAGTATTATGTTTATTTAAATGGTGTATTTAAGTGTTTTTGTGTAAAACACTTAAATACACCATTTCGATTTTTGATACCTCACTACTATAAAGGCTTGGTTTGGTCTGAAGTTTCATTGATGGTAGTGTCCAGGGTCACTGATGAGGAGTGGATTTCTCCGGAACTAGTCTGGCTCACAGACACACCCCTAATGAAAGAATAGACCATTCCAAGCTTTTGCTTGTTGTTAAACAAATGTTTAAACAACTATATTCAATAATGTTTATTCACCTCGTGTAGACGGATTATATTTTAGTTTTCAATTCCTGTACTTGACTTTCTGTCACTGATAGACAGCTATATTTTGATACCTAGGTTGCGCTACCGTCCTTCTCATCCTAGCTATTATTATTGCAGGTAAATCATAATAGAATTTTGAAGAAATCGATGTATAAAATTATAGAAAATGTTAAAACGTTATTATGTCAATAATTTTGAAAAAATATAACTGGCATTTTTTTTTCGTATTGCTACTGTTTTTTTTTTTTCGTATTGCTACTATAACATAATCCCATACTTTTTAGATTTAATGTTTAAATATAAATGGGCATAATGATATAATTGCTATGACTTAGTTTATAAATGATTGATAAAATAAATTTAAAGAAGTCCCCCACCCCCCGATGGGAAAGTGGCAAGTTTACGGACTTACAACGTTAAAATCCGGGGTTCTATTCCCTGCGATGGACACAGCAGATAGCCCAAGATGCTGCTGCTCTAAGTTTGATTGATGCTGTAATAACTTACAAAATAATCATTTTAAAATAGATAACACCAACTTAGCACTCTATTATAATTTTTTAAACTATGCTTTTAAGTAGAGAATCAATCAGAGACAAGTTTGCTTGGGGGTGGGGGCAAGTACCAAACGTTTTTTACAGTGGGGTGTGATTTACAAAAAAAAAAGGTTAGAGAACCCCTGCTTTGGAACAAAGAAACAAACAAATTGATGTAAAGACATGCACTCTTCCGTATAACCCGAAGATATTTCGACTGAAATTTACATTTGAAAACACGCAATAAACTTTGGCTCAAATGGACCCTGAAGTTTGGGCTCAGCAGCTCTCAATAGTAATCCGTGGTGACTCTATTTAAGCTGCAGATGTCAGTACATCTACAGAAACTAAGCTAACGCGAGTTTTGTCCGTGTTCTGTTTGGTCTTACTTTGGCCTTCCTTTCAGTAGGAAGGTAGACATCAAACAGAAGAAAAAAAGTCTGCCTTTCTACAAAACGTTCACTACTTGTCGACAAAGACCGCTATGTTTAGACAAAGCTAGACAAACAAATCGTTTTGGGAAAACTTGGCGGGGAAAATGCTGCAACTTGTGAATGTTACGAAAACAGCAAACATTTAGTTTGGAGTTAGCGAAATTTGTATGAACTCTGTATGAGAAGTAATATAAACGAACTTTTTAGGCACTAATGGTGTTGAAGAAAAACAATTTTATACTGTACACACGATAAAATGAATTCATTCTTGTGTGTTGAGTAAAGTGCCAGAGCTACGAAAATATATTCAGGAGAGGGGAGAGAGATATTTGTAATCCAGGGAAAATGTATGATGCAAGAGAAGAGAAATTTCGGAGGGGGGAGGGGGTAAACCATTAGTTTCTCCGTGATATCTAAGCTTCAGAGAAAAGGAGGTACTCTTTGAGGACTAAACCCCTGAGAAAAAAATCCTTTATTATATTTGAGCCTCTGAAAGAGAAAGGTCCTCCACGAGTTCCTTCTCGAAGTCTGAACCACTAAAAGAGAAGGGTCCTCCAAGAGTTCCTTCTCGAAGTCTCAACCAACTGAAAGAGAAGAGTCCTCCAAGAGTTTCTTCTCGAAGTCTCAACCACTGAAAGAGAAGGGTCCTTCATAACTTCCTTCTCGAAGTCTCAACCAACTGAAAGAGAAGAGTCCTCCAAGAGTTCCTTCTCGAAGTCTGAACCACTAAAAGAGAAGGGTCCTCCAAGAGTTCCTTCTCGAAGTCTCAACCAACTGAAAGAGAAGGGTCCTCCACGAGTTCCTTCTCGAAGTCTGAACCACTAAAAGAGAAGGGTCCTCCATAAGTTCCTTCTTGAAGTCTCAACCAACTGAAAGAGAAGAGTCCTCCAAGAGTTTCTTCTCGAAGTCTCAACCACTGAAAGAGAAGGGTCCTTCATAACTTCCTTCTTCGAAGTCTCAACCAACTGAAAGAGAAGAGTCCTCCAAGAGTTTCTTCTCGAAGTCTGAGCCTCTAAAGAAAAGAGGCTTTTTTAATTTCTAGCCCCAATAACGTTTCCTCGGGATTTAACAGAGCCTTTAACGAGAGTAGAGCCTAAATTGAAACAAAGACAAATTAGTCATTGGTGATTTCAAAAATACATGATCATCAAGTTATTGATAAACTTGTCATTGTAAAGTTGCATCTGTGGATAAACCTGCACAAGATTCGATTGGAAACATATTACGTTCTCTTCGTCCACCAAGCAATATATTTCGGTATAAAATAACAATTTGATATAGTTATATTTTTTATGCATTTTCAAGCAAGGTAAGATATCCAAAACTGTGTTGACTTATCGTTTATGTGACAACTAATTCCTGATAATTCATGCTGTTAATGACAAAAAAAAAATGTAATTGTTCCAGTCTGTCTGTCCATCTCTGGTGGATCTTTGATAGGTTTGACCACTCTCGTCATATTTATAAGGCCAGTTAGATGAGAATATACTAGAAAATTCTAACGAAAACATCTTTTTCTATTGGAATAAATTTCTTCTAACGTGTTTCATCTTTCGTATTAGTTGAAATGCCTTGATTTTAACAGTTGTTCTTTGCTTAATTTCCAGCATTCCAATATTTACAATAAAAATAAAATAATAAGAGTTATTTTAACATTAAGGTCAGAAAACGTAACTAAAATCTCCATTTTTAATTGTATAACATCCAATCTTTCAGTGACCTGAAAATACAACTCTATCGTTGTAGAAGAATGTAGACAAACAAGGTTGTCATCATTATAGAAACTGGCATTATTGGGTCATCTACACGCTCATTTTAAAAGTATATAGCTCTACTTTATGGATTGCGGTGTAGACGATTTGGTTTCTACTTCCTTCTATTCATTCCATTACATTCTATCTCATTCCAGATCATCGTATTGCTGATTAGAAGTTTATTTAGTGGATTTCTGATTTCCAGTTCAATTACATACTTTTTTAAACAAATCTTTCGACAAGCATAGATAATTACGCTTGATAAACCCCTTCGCAGACAAAGCAGTTTCTATTTTTTTACGTCTCTACTGATCATACCCTCTTCTCAACATTGAGTTGATCAATTTGCCTTAAACGTCTTTTGTTGTCAAGCCTTACGTTCAAACGACGTTCCCTCAATACTAGAGTAATGAACTTATGTATGTAAAACTGTAACTATTGTGGCACCATTTGACCCAGTTCACTGAATCTTTTGATGATCTCTCTAACACTGTTTGTTGTTGTTGTTTTGGTTGTTGCACATCATCAGATGTTCTCAACATCACTAGATGTGACTTGTTGATTACAGCTGTGTTGGAACTAAAGAATTTCTTTTGGTAACTTCGCACATTGCAACAAAGACAAAAATAAACAAATATAAACAACAATAAACAAATGTAAACCATCGTAGCATGTTTATATACTCCACACACAGATAAAAATTTGTGCAATTGCACTAAAAAAGTGTTTAAGAGATGCTTCATTTTAGGTTCTCCTGTTAAACTTAGGTAAAGTTTAAAATTCACGGAAGTGCATTTTTGATGTGTTTGTTGTTCTTGTTTTGGTTGTTGCACATCATCAGATGTTCTCAACATCACTAGATGTGACTTGTTGATTACAGCTGTGTTGGAACTAAAGAATTTTTTTTTGGTAGCTTCATGGATCTACTAGATTTTGTGTTTTACTGTACTTTTGGAATATTTGTTTATTAATTCAGAATCTGTAGAGTTCTGTAATTCCGGTTGAAATATTTAACGACCTGCACTTTCTGGGTTTATCAGATTTTTGTATTATTTTACATGATTAAAATGTTTATTTAGTATCATAAGATCGACATGAAATGTTTGCGTTACTTTGCACTATTAAAATGTGTTCTTGATATTATAAAATCAATTGATAAAGAACAAGACAGTGATTAATAATCTAGTCCTCTTGAATCTTCATTATAATATATTTTCATTAATAAAGTCCATAACGAGATTATTGTGTATGGAAATGTTTCTATTCCTTGTACGTAAATGTATTGTTTGACAATTTTCTTGAGTTTCTGTTCACGTAATATATGTATAGATCAGTAGCATGTAAATTCATTAATAATTAATCCAACATTTTCTAGTTTAAAACCCTATTTTCCTAGAACAAAAAAAATGCTATTTGACCTCGTACATACCCTTTCGATGGTCCCCGAATAAAACAGTAATTTTCTAGTAAATAAGAATCGGTGTGGTAAAACACCTCGTGGTCAATGTTAAGTGGATAATATAACCTTTTGTGGTCATTGTTAAGTGGATAATATAACTTTTTGTTTCTTGTATTGTTTGTCTCATAACTTCTAGAGTGCTGTATGCTTTAAGATCTGTTGAAATAAAAACTGAGATATATCAACACTTTTCAAGAATAATGACTTTAAAGTAGTTTGTGGTGCAGTAATATGTGTGTGGATTACAAGACTCCACCGTGTTCATGGTGCGTATTGGTTTCCGTTTCACTTTTTACGTGGGGGTCAAGTTTCGTGTTTTATCTAAAAGTACAGCTACGCACCATTGGACTAGTAATTGAACTTATTTACTCCTTTAGTTAAGACTGAATACAATACAGAGTAAGCAAGTACACACGATGCGTATTATTAACCTGTAATACGGTTACTACTTTATTGGGGGGGGGGAGTAATTCAAAAATATTTTGATCCACAGAACAATTTGTAATTTTGTT